TATCATAAATTTCACACATTTAAAGTGTACAATTCAATTTTTTTACTATTTACAGAGTCATGCAACTATCACCATACTATATATTTAGAATATTTTCATCCCCCCACAAAGGAACTATTATTAACCTAATAGCTAGTATTATTATAACTTTGGGTTGTAAATCTGATTTTTCATTTCAACATAATTTAGGAGAGTAATGCATTAAAATATTTATTAGTCTACTTTTTCGGACACCCTATGCATAAAAATGCCATTTGGTAGAATCAGTACTTCATTCCTTCTTATTGCCAAATAATATTCCACAGTATGGATATAATACAGGTCGTTTATTCACCGGTTGTTGGACATTTGTGTTGCTGAAGCCATTTGATGTTATTAATGGTGCTGCTGTAAACACTGGTACACAAGTTTCACATTCCTTGTGGATACATGTGTTCGCTTATCTTGGGTAGATTGGTAGGAGTGAATTTCCGGGTGATATAGTAACTGTTTTGCAGGAAATGTCTGATTCTTTTCCTCAGGGCCTGCACCAGTTTACCTATAGCATTCCTATTGTGTTCAGACCTATGAATACCTGTAGTATTCATAATACCGTATGGGATTTCCAATTTCTCCACCTTCCCATCGACATTTGTTGTCATCCATCATTTTGTTTATAGCCACCCTAATGGGGTTGCAGTGGTATCTCACTGTAGGTTTGATCGCATTTCCCTAATGGCTGAGGGTTTTTAGAACCTTTTCATGTGTCAACCTGCTTCTAGTCTCACAGGAGCAGCTGAAGGTCCGAGGCCCTTCATGAGTCACTGACTTCAGGACACTTTAGACTGAGGCAGTGTTGAAATCCTGCACTCAGCCTGCTCACCTCCCTGAGGCAGAACATTCTTGTTCAAGAGCAGAACTCCTCTCGGAGACAGTGGGTGGGCAGAGTGCGGCCAGCCCACCCAGGCCAGGCCCAGCAGATACAGCACTAGTTCCCGACTCCGCCTGTGCCGTGCACTGCAGCCCCAGGCTACACTGGTCCCCAGGCCTGTCTGGAGCCTGCTCGTGAGCCTGCCTCTCACTCGATCATCACAGGGGGACACAGCAGGTCCAGTGAGTGTCCCCTGATGCCTCAGCAGAGGATGTTCCACTGGGAACTAGGACTTGGACAGGGACCTGACCGCAGTAACTTCTCCCTGTGCTCACGCGGTGCCAGCATCACTAACACACAGCCCTCACAGAAACTACACAGTCTGGTCACAAAGAATGCAAAGTAACAGTCTATGAAAACATAAGAATCCCATTAAATGGAATAAAATGAGGCTCAAGTAAATGGAGATTTAGGCTACATTGATGGGAGGATGGTTTAATACTACCAAAGTAAAAATTATGCATATTTAATATATTAGTATAATAAATGTGTTTTAATAAATGATATAAGTTTTGGGAATGCTGACTTTTCTTTCTAACAATAATGCTATGAAAAAATTTAAATTTAGGAAATAGCCTCAAATGAATGAAAAATGAGTGGAAGACACTTAAATTTTGAGACCTGTCTTAAAGCAAAATAATTTTAAACAGTAAAAGGCTGTTGCTGGAACACATAGAAGAAAGGTTCATTCACAGTTCAGAAACAGAACTAGGTGTGCAAGGGGCTTAGGATAGATTTCAAATTCCGTGGAACAAACACCATGGAATCCATATCCAAATAGAAGCATGGAACACTGTAAAATTTGCTTCTAAATTTAAAACAAAGTGAGATGGAGAACATCTAAGGAGACTCTTTTTACGCAATTTTGATTGCCATTGAATTTTAAGTTGTTATTTCAACTAAAAGCTTAGATAAAATAAAAAGTTTATGTTATTTTATGTTTTCAATAAAATCACCATTGTTGTTGGCATCTAATTGAACAAGACACGTTTCAAATAAACATTTCTTTGGTCAATGGCTGTCAGAGTGGATGGTCACTGTATACGTGACAATCATTGCTGTCCTTGAAATGATTCTTTCTTCCAGGCAAGGAGGGTTGGAGAGTTGTCGTCTCTTGACATGCTTTTGATAAACAGTACGTTCTTACTAAAGTGGGTATCATATCCAAAATGGAAGGGCTGACTCATCTCTTCAAAGACTCACCCCTTATAATAGGCTTTATCTGCCTTTATGACATGTCCACTTTCTCAGTCACAGAAAACGTGAGCCTTAGAGTTGGATTTGATCCTCTCTTTTAAACGTGTGGCAAAATTAGCTGGCCACTGGAGCTGGAGAATGAAATCTCTGCATGGAACAGATCCGTCATCTTGCTCCATGCAGCTGTCCGGTTCCATCAGACATACGTTGTCCCTCCTCAAGTTACTTCCGACCTAAGTCCAATATCTACTCTGTGAAAATTGTCTAAACAGAAGCCTGGTACTTTCTCTCTCTCCTCTCTCTCTCTCTTCCTTTTTACGAAATATGGCACTATCTATCTAGATAGATACAGATTTAGATATGAATATCCCCAAATCTCTAGAGGATAAAGAGCCCGGCCCTCGGGTGCTAACCACGCCCCATCCTCTGTCCTGGACCGCCCAGCCGCAGACACTGCCCTACACACATGCCTATGACCTCCTCCGTGTCTCACTAAACACGTTAAGCCACTCAGTTTGTGATAATTTGTCACAGTGGAAAAAGGAAATGTCTGGAAATAAGTGAAAGAGGATTGCTGCTGTGAAATATACCTAAAAGTATGGAAGTACTTTGGAATTAGGTAAGAGGTAGAGGTTGGGAGAATGTTGAGAAACATGGAAGAAAAGCCTGGATTGTTGGACCTGCTGTGAGTAGAAATGTGGATGCTAAATGCTCTGCTGGGGCTCAGCATGGAGTGAGGAGGTGGCAGGGGACAGCTGTGCTGTCTCAGGAGCACCCAGTGCTGCACAGACAGACTGATGGTGAAAACACGGCTGCTAAAGGTGCCCCTGGTCCACCAGAGAGAGCTCATGGGGAATTAGGGAACACAGTTTTGGAGACTGGCAGAGAGGGGATCATTGTCACATAGTGGGAGGAAGCCACGTTTCAGAAAAATTTGAAGAAAAAGAAACTGTCAGGATCAAAGAAAAATATAAAAAAGACGAGAGGGCGCAGTGCTGGGGATTCCGCTGGCACAGGCTCCCGTATCCGGAACTCACGGAGATGGGAATCCCCCGCCCCACGGTCCGCCCCGCCCGGCTCCTCCCGCTGCGGCTGGAGCCAGGGACGCTGGGGACAGAGCCAGGACGCTGGGGACAGAGTGGCCTGGGACAGGCGCGGGATCCAGCCTCCCACCAGGAACGCGCTTCTGCCACCTGGCCGGCCTGGGAGTGACAGCCAGCTGCACCAAAGTCCCAGCCACACCCTCCTCGGCAAGTAAGAACAAACCCAAACCCTCACATGTCACCTGAGAAACACAGTCTCTCTCCCAGTCCCATTTTCCTTTTCTTGTCCCTGCTGTTGCGATTTCTCTCCCAGAGATCCGCCGGCTCCGCACACCGGAGAGAAATGCAGTGGCTTGGCCCAAGGAGGACAGGGGGAGACACAGAGGAGGGCTGCCCCAGGGCTTCGAGACCCCCCAAGGCAAGAGTCAAGGGACAATTATCTCGTGCCTCTAAGTCAGTCTCCGAAATAAAACTTAAATCAAATTAACTGGCCATGGTGCAGACAATTGAAAAGAAAATAATAAAAGGATGAGAATGGTAAGATTTAAGAGATAGCTCTTTTCAGTGTAATGAAAATGTGTTAATTACGGTGACTTGCTTATAAAGACCCTCCTTATAGGAAGAAATAGAAAATTCGATGACGGCCTTGGAAAGGAACAGCAGGGGGTGTCTGCTGTGGTCGGAATGGACAAGGGCTGGAGAGGTTTGGGTGACTCATTTAAAAAGAAAATTTATGTGCTGAACTGAACACACACATCGTATACATCTCTGCTGGGCCCCCAATAAGCCCTAGAGATTGAAAAGAAAGTGAATTCTGGTGGATATGCAGCCAACTGCCTTCATGCTCCATTGATCTTCCCCTGTCTATTTTTACTCATACTGCCTTTTTAGTTAAAATGTGATGTAACCAAGCTACAGAAGTCTGAAGAAAAATGAAATATGAGGATCAAAAGAAAATATAAAAGTATTAATACGGGAATGGTAAGATTTAATAGATATTTATTTTCAGTGTAATACAAATGAGTTCATCTCAGTGATCTGGTTATAAAGGCCCTGATATGAAAGAAATCTCAACTTCGGATGGTGGAACTGAAAAGGATAAAAGGCCCGCTGCTTCTTACACTCTCTTACCCCTCCTCCCACTCCCTTCACAGGCCCAGTTTCTACAGGACAGCTGCGGGTTGAACCGCACCAACTCTGCGAACCTCCCCTCCCTGCCCAGAGTGGGTGAGACTCCATGCACCTCCCCGGCGCAACCAGAGGCCCCAGGGGTGGGGGACTGTCCTCCCACAATCACATCAGGTGGTGATTGCTGGGGGACATCACCCATGAAGTACTGGATAACCACAGGACAAGGATGGGGTCTCCTGCTTTAATCCGCTCTCCAGAGCCAAGGACAGGGACCGTTCTGAGGTGGGTACAGCCCCCGTGTTTGTTGAATAATAATAGCTGAAGGGCTCTTGGTGCCTTGGGCAGGCTCCAGGATTAACTGACCAAGTGGCTGCATCCCACTGAGGGACACCAAAGGGACAGAAGCTTTGTGCAGATCACCTGGGACATGGGAAGTGGAGCCCCAGGAGTTTCCAGAACACCTACTTGGGCTCCACCCACAGCCCTGAGTCAGCAACCCAGTAGGCCTTTGTCCAGTCCTGAGGGTGGGTCAGGGTCTGGCCACTAGGGGGAGACAAACTCTCTGACCCAAGGAGGACTGACTCCCACTGAGCCCCACCCTTGTTAAACAGCAGCCTTGGCAGGGAGCGGATTTGCATGGAGGCCAATGCCCTGCCCAGGCCTGTGCTAAAGGGATAAGAGGCTTGGGGGCCCCGGCTCAGCTGAGGGCCTGAAGGACCCAGCACTGCAGTGTCTCCATCATGGCCTGGGCTCCTCTATTCTTCACCCTCCTCGCCCTCCTCACAGGTCAGGGTGGGCAGTGGTCACTGCCTCTACAGGGACAGCCACCTCCCAGCCCCCAGCCCCCCACCCCTGCCCTTTCTCCTCCAACACCTGCTCCCCAACTGGAGCCCTAATGGGGATCTGTGTTTCTAGGGTCCCTCTCCCAGCCCGTGCTGACTCAGCCGCCCACTGCATCTGCCTCCCTGGGAGCCTCTGTGACACTTGCCTGCACCCCAAGCAGCGGCCACAGCGGTTATGCTGTCGACTGGCACCAGCAGAGCCCAGGGAAGGGCTCCCGGTTCGTGATGCGAGTGGGCAGCGGTGGTGTTGTGGGATCCAAGGGGGATGGGATCCCTGAGGGCTTCTCAGTCTCGGGTTCAGGCCTGGATCGGTACCTGACCATTCGGAACAACCAGGAGGACGAGGCTGACTACCACTGTGGGGCAGACCACAGCAGTGGGAGCAGCTTCGCGTACTCCACAGTGACACAGGCGGGGGGAAGTGAGACAAAAACCTCCCGGCTGCTCTGCCCTGTCCCCACCTCCCTCTACTGGCCTGACTCCTAGTTTAGAGGGGGTGTCTCCTAACCCTGCCTTGACAGCTTTCATCTTCCTAGGTATTTGGGGATTCTAATTCCCAGCAAATGGTTCCCCTGTGGGAAAATAGTTCCTCAGGCGTTTGGGAACATTTATAAGTTTGGACATGGACATCTGGGGTTGCTGCTACTTTCCCAGTCCCTGATGGAATTGTAGTTTCCAGGTTGTGGAGCTATTCGCAGGTGCAGTCATAGCACAGTTACCATCCCCAACTCCTGTCACCTTTGTCTACATTCAACATTTGTGACCTGCCCACACAGTGATGGGCACTGACTATTTCCCTGGGGACATAAGGCCTCCACCCCGACCCGTAGAGTCACCTGTGCACACGTGATCCACGTGGACTTCACCCAGCTCCCATCACCTCCACATGCACGGAGCTCTCGTGACGCACATGCCTGGCTGCGTTAGCGGCAGAGAGAGGAAAAGAACTGGCACACGCAGGAGGATGGGAGACCCCGAGCCTGCTCTGCACCTGAGGCTTTGGGAGAGACCCCTACTGCTCTCCAGAGTGAACTGGTTCACTTGCAGGGAGAACGCTCTGGTGAGAATCACTCTGCAGTGCTTTGCTGATGCTAAGTATCTCGACTGAGGTCAAATTTCACAGGTTAAGGGCACAACCCTACGCAAGACTGCTCCTACTGCAGACACCAGCCACAGCAAGTGCCAGGTTTCCAGGCATTAAGTCTCAGGACCCCTGAAGACATTGAAGATGGACCTGTGACCAGCAGGGGGCGCTGTGGACCATCCAGGCTCACAGCTGGGTGAGCCCACCTGCCTCAGGCTGGCAGAGGCTGAGCTGCCCTCGGTGCTCACTACCGACACTCTGAGGCCTGGTGCTCTCAGGGCCGGACAGAGGCTCCTGGGCAGGGTCCTGTGCATGTTCACAACAGCTGCTGCCTCCACAACCCTCCTGGGCTCATACATGGAGCACACCCCTCCCTCAGCCTCCTCTGTCCTCAGGTCCTCTCTTGGGCTCCTGAATCAGTGGCCAGGTGGGATCTGACGGATCCCAGAAGGGTGGGGGTAAATTGGCATGAGCAGCCCTTTCTTTGCCCTGGGGGCAGCAGGAGGACGAGACAAGCCTGGGCAGCCCAGCTTCACTGTGGGGCCTCAAAGAGGAGCTGTGCCCACGTGGCCTGGACTCCTCTCATCCCCAAGGTTTGGTCTGTCTTTATGGAGACAATGAACAGATCTCCCTTTCTTACTCGTCCTCCAATGCAAACACAATCATTTTGTCCCCAGAAGCACATGCAGCCCTCCAGGTTGTGGGTGGGATGAAAAAGACAGCGGAAGTCCCATATGTGTGGCCCGCTTCCTGGCCCTTACATGTCCCTGCCCTTGGCCCAGCCTTTGTTGGTCATTGCCTGGACTCTGAAACTTGAGGGAAGTCGAGCTTCTCTCTGCCTTGAGATTGCACTCTTCAGGAGCTCCTGAATTCCCAGGTGCAGGGTGACCGCTCCATGTAAAGGACATGGCTCTCAGACCCATCCTGGGGTCTCTTCCTCCAATTTAGGCTGATGAATTCTAATGTTTTCCCTCTATTCCTTTGGTTGATGTGATGTTTGATAAATACATTTTTCATAGATGTGAACATTATAAATCCTTTCCCCATGAAGCTCTAGCAAATAAACTTGTTCGGAACCCAATGCAGGTAAAGTAAGGGTTTTTATTGTGGCAGGAGAGGAGTTCCTCTAAGGAAGGGGAGTTCAGATTATAGTAATGTTCTTTTTATCTACATCTTGATACTTTAAAAAGTACATGCAAACTAAAACTAAACTGAAAACATTTTAAATATATCACAGTCAAAAAATAATGAGGAATTTCTGGACCAGCATTCAAGGGCAAATGAGAACACAGAAGAAAAAGAGCAGAAGACAGTTTCCCTGACAGTATTATGTTACTTTGGCAAAGGCAGAGATCAAATGCTATGCCTGTACAGTGAGGGCCGGGGACACCTAACAGGAGACACTTGCAGCAATGACAACAACAAAATCATCCAACCTGTAAAAGTCACCCATGTGGAATCGTTACCAAGTGAAAAACACCTGGGAACCTGAAGCCTTGAACGTGGTTCAAGATGGTCGTACACTGCCCCCAGGTACCCGGCAAAAGCAAACTCAAATTTCATGTAATCCTGAAATACCTGCTAACATAATCACTGCAAAATACACCCTGTATTTAGCTGTCTGGACATCATTGGTGACTTGCAAAAATTAATGTCTCAGTCCCAACACACTCATTCAACTGCCCTGGCTAGTGGCCTCAGAAGGACCCACACGTGATAGTGAGGACACTGTTCCAGGGGTGCTGGGCAGGGTCGCAGGGGCTAGAGCAGGCGGGCTGGGAACCCAGCAGGGGATCCTGTAGGACTGGTCTTTAGAGGACAGGGCTCTGGGCCCAGCCACATAGGAAAAAATACTCCACCAGCTCTCCCGTACCTGGGCAAGCAGTGTCCTCACTGAAGTGTGAATTTCCTGCACCTGGGCCCCCAGGACCCACGTGAGCACTAGGCTCTGACTCACACCCCTGCTGCCTGTTTCATCCCCAACTCTCAGGGGGTCGTTGACCAGACTGGTGTCCAGGCGGGGAGAGATGGATGGCCACAGGGCAGGGACAAATGTGCATGAAGAAACTTGACCTACAAAGCTACTGGTCACAGGACAAGAGGCACATGGGGAGGAGGGGCTCTGAATTGCCACAGTTCGTCCTCAGCAAGCAGAGCTTTGTGGCTTCCCTGCCATGCCCTGGATTCCTCTGTTAACGCTCTTCACTCCGTGGACAAGGAGTTTCCTTCAGGGGACTGGAGAAAGGATATGGGGACAAAGACACATTCGCATTGCCTTTTGTTCCTGTCATCTAGGCGCAAGTGATCAGTCCCCCATTCTTTCTGCCACCTCCTGACCCTCCTTCCAGGGTCCTAGTCCTGGGCCATATTGTGATGACTCTGACATCCGTCCACATGGGTGTTACTTTTTTAAAAATGTTGTTCATTCTTATCTCCCAAATGCCCCTCTCTGCCTTCCCATTCCTTCTGCTCCGTAGAACCCAAAGGGTGTTTCACTGTAGTTCATAATTTTTACAGCAACTAAAGCACACACAGTGTTTATTTTTATTTCTGATCATAAGGAGCATGCTTTCCTATTTTATATCTCATGTGGGGAGGAATTTCATAGCTTAATGGTCACTCTGCTACATTTTATTCTCTTCATAATCACAATTCCACTGAAGCTCCTCCATGTAACTTACGGCTTCACAGAGCCCTTCCCCTGACCCACCTGCCGCTACTGTGCTGCCGGAGACGGTTGAGAGAGCAACAGAGAGAGAGAGACAGAGAGACTGTAGCTCAAACTCATTTTCTCATACTTGCAAATCAGCGAAGCCCAACTCCACAGCAACAGTATCAGATTTCACTGAAAATTACCAACCTTATTTATGAATATAGCTGACAGTTGCAAAAAAATGATGAGACACAATAGCAAGTAGAATCTATCTTATATGAAGAAAGATTCATTTTGGACACCAGGGAGCAGAAGCTGGGATTATTTCTGCAATCTCTGTGAGATGATGAACATGGAATTTGGGGGAGCAGATATGACGAGGTCCTGAGCCATAGCCAGATACCCTGGGACTGGGGTCACCAGTGGATCGTAGGGTGCTCAGTTTGGTGAGACATCGACCCCCATCCCTGAATGCCTCAGTCCCTTGTAGTTATTGGTGGATGTGAGGTTCCAGCATCTGCCTCTTTCAAGATCTCTCTCCCAGGGGACATCAGGGTGAACACTGGGGCAGGAAGGGAGGGAAACTGATTTGCATGAAGAATCTCCTCCTCCTATCGGGTCTGGGGAGGCATGAAAAGGCCCTGAGAACAGCAATCCCTAGCTGAGGAGTGGGAGGCCACCGAGCCCTTGCGAGTGTCCTCAGCATGGCTTGGACAACGCTGCTTCTCGGGCTCCTCGCTTACGGCTCAGGTCAGGGGAAGGGACTGTGCATCCCTGGGAGGCCCACATACAGCAGGGTCTCAGCGTGACCCTCATTTCCATAATAACTGTGTCTCTCCTGTGGGTTTTAGGGGCTGATTCTCAGACTGTGGTGACCCAGGAGCCATCACTGTCAGTGTTTCCAGGAGGGACGACCACACTCACCTGTGGCCTTAGCTCTGGATCAGTCTCTACGGGACACTACCCCAGCTGGTACCAGCAGGCACCGGGCCAGCCTCCACATAGGCTTATCCACAGCACGAACGTCCGCCCCTCTGGGGTGCCTGATCGCTTCTCAGGCTCCATTGTTGGGAGCAAAGCCGCCCTCACCATCACGGGGGCCTAGACTGAGGACGACAGCGACTATTACTGTGCACTGTATATGGGTAGTGGCACTTCCACAGTGATTTAAACCCATGGAGCAGTGCAACAAAAACATCTGCTGCTTAGAATGCTTTAGCCCTCAGCAGCAGAAGAAAAGTGAGGTGCTGGAAAAGGTAATCACCACAGTGTCAGAGAGTCTCCTCGCCCCATTCTCCTATCCAGGGGTTCATTGCCATGCGCCCCATCCAGGCTCTCCCAGGGTGTGTCCATCTCTCCAGTGTGACTGCTCCAAGACTGTGCTTCCTCTTTCCCTCTCTGCCTGGAGTAAAGAGCGAAGGGGCCCTGCTCCGAAATATATAAACCAACAACGGGACTCGGAGACCCACCGCTACCAGTAAGACTTTTCAGATTCAAGGAGCATTAACAAACATAACCTCATTAATTTCACCATGGAGACCAAATAGTGTTTTGTTTCACACTGAAATTATATCATTGCCTGGGAGTTGGTTAGAAATGCAATTCCTCATCCTAGATCTACTAAATCAGAAATTGTTTTAGTGCCTAAAACTCGATTTCAACAAGCTCGCTAGGAGATTTGTATGAATATTAACATTTCAGAAGCAACTTTTATTATTATGAAATCATTTTTGCACATTTCTGCTTAAAATGCAATCAGGATAATATTCCATGACTCAGTCACTCCCAATTTCCCATTCAAAAATCCAAGAATACACAGAAACAGATTCAAAATCTAAGCCCAATGCTGAAAACTATGACTTGATTTCTAACTACAGCCTGAAGATAGGGGAAATTTCCACAAATGTAAGTTCTTCTAAGTAATAGTTAATGAATCATATAAATATTTATGTTATTAGAAACCTTCCATGCAGGGTTGGCTTTCAGAGACAGTCCTACCACCCAGTGAGATGACTCCCCCTGGTACTAGGACACAAGGGACAGAGTGAAAGTTACATCACTAACTGAACTTTCCCAAAACATGCGGTGAATTGGAGAAACAGTGTGAAATTACAGCATAATTTAATCTTCTGCTGCCTCTATTTAAAATCACATTAGAAAAGTATTATGCTGAGGGCATACAACATTTGGTAAAAAGCAGTATAGATGGGGTTTGGGTCAGCCTGCCAGTAAAGAACCGTGACCAGCTGAGCTGCTTGCTGAAGCTTCCTTCAAACAGAGGAGGATGGGCCTGAACCACTTTATTCAGAAAATTGTCGACAATTCCTACATATTCAAATACGCTGAAGTTCGGTCCATTTTGAATATCTCTCAATCTCAAGGACCTAAACTTAGGTCCTCCACCAAGCCCTTCTTAGCAAATGAAGCTCGGGCCATCATCCAATCCTCATGATAAACCAAGACTTCGTATCTTAAAAGTGATTGGGAAAGCCATTTTAGAAAGGATCATTTAGCAAGACACAAGGCAGAAGAAGCATTCTGTGCAGTCAAAGGTTTATCAAAGAAAGCAATCCCTAAAAAGAAAGAGGTGAAGCTTATTATATTGGAGCAGAATGTTCTGTTGAAGAGTGAGATTTCAGGAAAGTAAAAAAAAAAAAGGAAAAAGAAGAAGAAGAAAAAGAAAATGAATGAGAAAAACCTCTTTCCTGGTGGAACTTCACTTCTCTTTCCAGATTGCTAACAAATTGTACATTGTCCTAGACTACATCAAAGGTGGAGAGCTACTCTACCATCTCCAGAGGAAGCTTCATGGAACCATGGGCTGATTTCTATGCTGCTGAAATAGCCATGGCCTTGGGTTACCTGTACTCTCTGAACATCATTTATAGAGGCTTAAAACCAGAGAATGTTTTCTTAGAGTCACAGGGACACATTGTCCTTACTGACTTTGGAGTCTGCAATAAGGAGAACACTGAACACCATGGCACGACATCCACCTTCTGTAGCACACCTGAGTATCTGGCACCTGACGTGCTTTATGAGCAGCCTTAAGACAGGAGGGTGGACTGGTGGTGTCTGGGGGCCCTCTGGTATGAGATGCTTATGGCCTGCCTCCGTTTCATAGCTGAAACACAGCTGACATGTATGCCAACGTTCTGATTAAGCCCCCCAGTCAAAGCCAAATGTGACAAATTCCAAAAGACACCCCCTGGAGGGCCTCCTGCACAGGACAAAGGGACTTTGGCTCTTTGGTGCCGGGATGGCTTAATGGAGATTAAGAACTGTGTCTTCCTCTCACTAAGTGAGATGATCTTATTAATAGGAAGATCACTCCCCCTTTTAAACCAAATGCGAGTTGACTCGGTGACCTGCAGCATTTCGATCCTGAGTTTCCCGAAGAGCCTGTCCCCAACCCCACTGGCAGGTGTCCTGACAGCCTCCTCACCACAGCTGCCGTCAAGGGAGCTGCCCAGGCTTTCCTAGGCTTTCCGCATGCTGCTCTCCTGGAATCTTTCTTCTGAATGCTCTTACTTAGGGTAGTTTTGAAATATTTTATATGTGTTCTAAATGTTTTAATTAGCCTTTTGGTGGAGCTTCCAGCTGACAGGACACCTTTAAAGAGAATTTTCACATCTCTGGAAGCTTAGCAATCTTATGCCCACTGTTTGCTGGAAGCTCTTCAAAGAGCACATCCTCCTTGCAGTGAGCTTCTGACGTTTTCATTTTTATTTTTGCTTCCAACGTGGTGCTGTGTCTGAAATGAGTATGCGAGTACCGCCTTAAACAGATGCAGAAGTGTTGTTAGAAGGAGGATGCTGTTCTAAGAAGGAACATTCTACAGGTCTGTCTGGGTTCTAATAATGAATATGAAGAATCATGCCTTTTCTGATGAGATTGTGTTAGCTCCAAAACTTTTCCTACTGCAGAGTATTTCAGTTTCTTATTTTGCTTTGTGGATTCACTGTGTGATCAGTGGTATGAGTGTGGGATGCTTAATTACAGATGGATTTTGTTATAAGCATCAATGTGACATTTGCAGGACACGAGAACATGGGACACTGTTTCTTCCATATTTGGAAGATAAATTTATGTGTAGATTTTTCTTTCTTTCTTTCTTTTTTTTTTTTTTGGCAAGATATAATTAATAGGCCAGGCACAGTGGCTCACACCTGTAACCCTGCCACTCTGGGAGGCCAAGGAGGGAGGCTTACTTCAGATCAGGAGTTCCAGACCATCCTCAGCAACAGTTAGACCCCATCTCTACTAAAAATAGAAAAATGATCTGGGTGTCGTGGTGGGAGCCTGTAGTGCCAGGTACTCTGGAGGCTGAGGCAGGAGGATCGCCTGATGCCAGGAGTTTGAGGTAGCAGTGAGTTATCACGACACCACTGCACTCTACCCCGGGTGACAGTGCGATAGTCTCTCTCTCAAAAAAAAAGAAAAAATATATATATATACATATAATCGGGAAAATCACACCTTTAATGAGAAAAGGTAATTCACAGACACAAACCCTGAGGTGACTTAGGTGCTGAAATTACAACAGAGACTTTTATAAGCAGTCCTCATAAAATCCCTTTTATCAGCAATTACAGACATTTTTTGAAACAAATGGAAAAGCAGCAAATCTGATAAAAGAAATAAACTTCATAAAAACAAACCAAATGGAAATTATAGAACTGAAAAATACAATGAATGAAAGAAAAAACTCTCTCTGCAGGGACTCAAAAACAGATAATACTGAAACTGAAAGTCAGGCATTAGGGAAGATATTTAACACTAGAGAAAGTACGAACAATAGCTGTCACAGCCCAGCAGGGGGAGCTGTGGATCTTCTCAGAGCTGAGCCAGGCCTGAAACAAACCCAGATGGTTGAAGTTAATGGTCCCTGGGCCCCTGCTCACTGGCCTGAGTAAGAAGTGACAGCAGCTGCTTCCTCCCAAGGGACAAACTCAGAGCTTGCGCCAGCCCAAACTCCCTGCCAGTGTTGCTGCTCCCTGGGCTGAGGACCCAGAATTGAATGACGGTGCTGGCAAAGGGCGCATGTTTCTATAACACACCAAATAATCACACACCCTTTACTCGGAGTGCTGCAGAGGAGATGCGAAAAAAAAACATCCCAGAGCCCAGCAGCAGCCGTGGGCCCTGGGGATCTTTAGAAATCCACCTATGGCCTGGACTCTTCTCCTTCTCATTTCCTTCCTCCTCCTCTTCCTCCTCACTCTCTTCCCAGGTTCATGAAGATTTCAGAGACCAGCCCTTGAAGGGGTCCCTCTGCCTTTATTCTTCATGCTAACAAATGTCTATTTGTGGTCTCAAAGCCCATTTCTCAGGGTGTAGACACTCAGGGGCCCTCGACTGACAGTGTCCCCAGCAGGTTCAGTCACTCTCACCTGTGGCTCCAGCACTGGGTCACCATCCGTACTGGATCCAGCATCGGTTTGGCCGAGACCCCAAGACATTGATTTATGATACAAGCAAAATACTCATGGGCTCCTGCTCACTTCTCAGACTCCCTCCTTGGGGACAAAGCTCCCCTGACCCTCTTGGGGGACCAGCCTGAGGACAAGGCTGATTCCTACTGCTGGCTGGTATATGGTGGTGCTTAACACCGTCAGAAACCCAGGTGGGAAACAAAGATATACACCTATTCTCGACCAAGCCTGGGAACAGACATGATTGTGTGATATAGGTCTCACACAACCACACACCTGAGTTCTCAGGGCAGCCTGATCATGGAAAGCCTACCCATAGAAAGAAAGGTGAAGGGAAATGTCTGAATTCACTCCTTGTCCTCTCCGAGGACTAAAACAAAGGATATTTGTAAATTACTTGAGAAGAACTGGTCCACGAAAAAGTAGAATTCAATGATTTTATGTTCCAAAAAGAACAGGGACAGTTGGATCCAATTTAAGGACTGAGATCAAATACATTTCATCCAGAGAAAAAGCATTTCCAATAATTTTATTTGTATCTAAGAGCAAAGCAAAGCAAAACTCATATTTCACGTTACTAAAGTTTATTTTATGAAGATTTATTTTAACGCCATGCAAGTGTTGAACAGTATTTTTAAAAATTAAAAATTATAAAAATTTTGTGGAAAGGAATTTTCTTCTCTAATGTCATATGTTAAAGTGTGTCATATGTTAAAGAAGATACACTGAAGTCCTAACTCCCAGTACCTCAGAGTGTGATGTTTTTTGAAAAGAGAGTCATTGCAGATGTAATTAGCTTAGATGGGCCTCACTAGACTAGGGTATACACACAGACACACACACATACACACACACACACTCACACACACATATATCTTATTTCGAGGACACTTTAGCCTTTAATAATGCAGTGGGAGTGGTCCCTAATATGTCTTCATTTAATTCATCAATCTGGCTCTAAAACGACACAGAGATGGATCCTGCCAGATGAATATGAAATCTTAGAAATACGAACAAATGGTACCCCGATCAAAGCTGCTGTCCTTGATGTGCTAGACAAACACAGCCTCAGGGGCAGGTGTTTACCCATTAAATTTGGTGACTGCATGTTCCTCTATACTGGTTAACAGGAAGTATGCAGGAATGGAATCAATTTGCACACATATGGAATGGATAGCAGTATACTTGATACTGTTGCCCAAAAGTTATGTTAGCTCTTCCACTGTATCAAAATATCCTGAAGGGAACTGGAGCATCAGCACATACCACAGCATATCACCTTGATACACTGTACTGCCGAAATCGAGTTATTTGAACAAGATGAGCAAGAGGTGAGAAATTCACGAAAGTCATTGGTAAGACACAAGGGCTCCAGGGGACGGGACACAGGCAAAAGCAAGTATCAGGGGCCCAGTATATCAGTGAGATCACCAGCCCACTAGGGACTTCCTGGTCCAGAGCATGCCTGGACATCTCTTCCAAAGCAGAAAACAAATCATTACATCACACAATTGTCATTCCCAAGAAGGAATCACAACACTTTGACAGGCCTATTTTGGTTCTGGAAACACACGTTCTCTAGTTGGGAAAACCACTCTGACCCATTCTCTAGGTGACAAACAGATGCCAGGTGTGAAGGTTCCCGAGCACACACCCTGCGTGCTCGGTGTGATGCAAGCGCTCCTGTCGGTGGCATCAAATCACTCATCAGATGCCATGCTAGGAGCGGTGACTGTAGCGAGAACATAAAAACAATACAAAAACACACCATGTGGAATGTCTGGCCAGCATTAACAGGAAAATCACAATGTAGCCCCTAGAGTCCTAGAGCAATAGGAAACCATACACCACTCAACAGTCCATTCTGGAATGATGTTCAGCCCCGGCGGAGACCAACTATCTGCATTTGGCACAGTCAACTGACCAGGCGGCAAGGTGTGCTCCTTATTAGCTGTGTTGCTGGGGAGCATAAGGTAAGACACCGGGAGGGCCCGAGATCCCAGCTTTTCTACCCAGCAGAGACAGCTGCTGCGTGTGAACTTCAGTAAGGAAGGAACGGACGCTGTGATGCACTCAGGCCTCCACTCTCCCAAATTTCTCTCTATGATTTCTTCTCTGAGGTCTCTCAGCCAGCGAATGTGACCCAGGAATAGAACTAAAACGTTCCTGCTTGATGAGGGGAGAAGGGGGAAGGCGAAGAGCCACAGGAAGGCATCCTTCCATCAGCGGTGTCCCCCTGTGGACACTAGAGGGTGATGTGGATCAGGCCCTGGGAGAGGAGGAGATCAGCTGGGAAATGGTCCTCCGAGCCTGGTCCCATTTACACATGGTCACTGGTGTGTAAAAACCCAATAACTGTGACCTGGCCGAGTTGCTGAGTCCCCCAGGGAGGGGGGATCATTTGCATGAAATCCTTGCCCAACCCCCTCGGTGTTAGGAGTTATAGTGAGGGTGTGGGGGCTCACCCTGTGGGAACCAGTCTAGAACAGCATAGCGCTGAGCTGTCTACACCATGGCCTGGGCTCCTCTCATGCTCATACTACTGGCTCAATGCACAGGTCAGGGGGGACATTCTGGGCTGGGGAGGCGGAAGGCAACACCAAACCTTCACAGTCCTGTCTTTTCTCCTGAACATTTGGTCTCTCACCTGTTTTCAGGAGCCACGTCCCAGACTATGGTGACTCAGGAAACTTCACTGTCCACAACTCCTGGAGGGACAGTCACACTCACCTGCGGCTCCAGCGCTGGGGCTGTCACCACCAGCAACTATGCCAGCTCGGTCCAACAGAAGTCCAACCAGGTACTCTGGGGTCTAATAGGTGATATCAGCAATCAATACCAAGGGGTCCCTGCCCGATTCTCAGGCTCCCTGCTTGGAGACAAGGCTGCCCTCACCATCACGGGGGCCCAGCCTGAGGATGAGGCCGAGTATTACTGTGCTTTGTGGCTCAGCAGCCATTTGCACAATGACAGATGCAGATGGGAAAGTGAGACAAAAACACCTGGCTCAGCTTTACCCTCTGCTCCTCAGCACTTCCTATACTTGTGTACAAAGATGAATGTAAGTCCTAGGAAATATGTCTGGCATCTGAGAGGAATATGAATCTTTGGGAGCCAGAGGGTGGATCGTGTTAGGCAACCACTAACATGGCTCCCAAATAATTGCACTTCCACCTATTCACGCCCTCTGTAAATGCCCTGAGTGTGGGGGCTACACCGAGTGACTGCAAGGACTTAGGGGCTGATTAAGAAAAAGGCATGACTAGGAGACGGTAGCAGCACATGAGCAGCTTTATTTGGGCTGCACTGGAACAGGTTGATGAGAGGGGGAAGTCTCTTCCAGAGACAGCAGCACAGAGCCACAACCCAGAAAGGGAGGACGAAGGGGAACTCCCTGAGGAGAAGGGCTCACATGTCTAGGAGACGTTACCGATAGCACAGCCAGGAATCTCTGGGTCAGAGAGCTAAGAAGGGTAGCAGCAATCTGCGGGTCTTTTATAGCCCCAGGGATTTTCTTATTTATGGCTAGCAGAATTCAGTGCCATTTCATAGGGTACACACAGCAAATAGGTTCTAAATGGCTCACTTGGTCTATATTTAAAGCATTTGGATATGTAAAAATTTAATTTTGATACTGGCAGGCTTAAGTTAATGGTCCCAGCCTGCTGTGAAAACGTAAAACAGCATAAGGGCCAATATACAGAGGCCAACCCATCTGTTTAACAACTGGATTCTAATGAGTAGAACAGTTAACACAGAAGTTAATGGGATGTCACTCCTGAGAGAGAATGAAAAGACTGGCGGGTCTTGGTTGTTTTCTCCTGTACTGCCTGCCCTGGGGTGGAGGGGTACATACTCCTCCCGTTGTTGTAGGATTGCAGAAATGACCCAACAGTCCCACTCTGAGGTATATCCTTCTGAGATTGATTTATACAACTTCTTTATCTTTTTTTCCTGTAAACCTAAGGCCTAGAGGGGGTTGAGGAGAGAAGAAAGGCTCAATCACTGCCTGCTGTGCTATGGATCCCTGCTGCCCTATTGCTATGCTGTAAACTCAGTTTGACCCAAGCTGCTTTAATTTTTGATTTCTCAGTGGTGAACCAACAGGCAGCAATCCAGCCAGAGCAGCAAGGGAGGGAGAAAAGAGCTGAACCCAGAGCTCTTTTGCTTGCCATTGCCCTCACAAAGGCAGCCTGGTCCTCTAGTCCTGTGCCCCACGATACTGCTTTCCACATGCACGCAAAGTCTCTATTGCTCTGATTCCCCATCTTGCCCCCCCTATTTTTTTTTCTTTTTATATTATTGCCACAAACACATGCTTGTCCCTCTCTTCTGAGGTTTTTCCATGGATGAGTTGGGAGCTGTGATCTAGCAGTTCGTGCTAGTTTGCTGTACTACCCAGGGTTCTCCCATTCACTCTTCACACCTCTGCAAAAACAGTTACCGTTTAGATAGCTCCTAAACTGTTCTGGTTAATGTAAGAAAGGATATTTTAATTAACAACTTCACAGGTGTATTTTATTTTTTATCTTACTCGCCCGTTCACCGGATGTTGAATTGTTCTTGAAACTGTCTTCTCCTGTAAGTCCCATGAGAGGACGCTCTGCCACCTTTCTCTCCCAGCTCTTGGCTTTACTCTCCTTTTCCTTTCTTTCTATCCAGGGCCCTGCAATCCATATTTCATGCCATATTTAGAGTGTTTTTCTAAGCTATAAGTATGATCCTGAACCTTTTCCCTTCAAAAGTGACACACACCATCTAAAACATCAATTTCAAACTTCTAATCGAGGCATTCTCAGTGCTCCTCAGTCGTACACCATCATCCAGCCAAGTCATGTTACTTTTAGTTATTCACACTACATTTTTCTTTCTTGTCTCTAATCCTTTAGGTAGGATGATTTCTCATCCAGAGTGCACCATCCAACTGACCCAACTCCCCAACACGACCATGGTATCTATCTGCATGCTAGTCTTCTCAAATACCAGATCTCATTCAGATTTTACCTCCTGTGGAAAGCTTTCCTTGACCTCTCCAGGAAGATTTATCCCCACTCACTCAAGTGTTACAGTAACATATTTTCTGATCTGATTTTTATACTTTCTATCTAACTCTAAATTTTTTCCAGTCTCCATTTTCAAACAGACTCTAAATTCCAAAAGGGTAGAATTTATTTCCAACTCATCTTATGTTTGATCAGTAGTAATAATTTTATAACGTTGAGCGAATGGATGAATCAATATGTAAATCCTCTAGGTTCCAAAGGTTCTATTACAGCATCATCTCCATGACTGGAATCACTCTGATGTACCCCAGGAAAATCCAAAGAATCATAACCTCTCATTTCAGAGATGGTCCAGAGGTGGCTGTGCTGCTAGACTGTAAACCCTTCATGACAGGAACTGCTGCCATTCTGCTCTGATATATTCTTCTGGTCTCTAAAAGAACACTTCCAATACAAGAGCCAATGAGTTTTCACTGAATGAGTGAACTCAGACATGAATGTCTGCTTGAATGGCAGGTTCTGCTCTCAGGGTACACCCACTGATTGCTCCATTTTAGTCGACAGCTGCACCCACAGGGTGAATAAAGAGTTCAGGACTAGGTGTGTGAATTCTGGGCCTCTGGAACAATAGTCCTTTCATGCTCCTCAGAATATCTTATGATGACTAAGTCTTGAAAGGGCCTTATCAGAAGTCATAGCAGTCAGGGTCTATGAGTAGTTCCAAGTGTTTCTTTCATTTTTTTTATTTTTTCTGTATTTCTGACACTATCAGCAATAAATATGTATTTCATTCATGATAAAAATGTTTTGATAAAACTATAGAAATGGAGACTACATTAGTGATTGCTAGGGGACAGAGAAGGGAGGTGAGTGCAAATATATTAATATAAAGGGATAACATGAAGTAATTCTTTTGTGGTGTTAGAACAGTTCTGTATCTTGATTATGGTGGTAGTTACATGGATCTGGACATGGGATAAAACTGCATAGGACTACGCACACACATACAAAAACAAATGAATGAAAATGAGTGAAAACTGGACAAGGTCTGTAGTCTAATTAACAATACCATATCCATGTCAATTTCCTAGCTGTGAAGGTGTACTATATGTCACCACTGTAGAAAGATGGACTCTATGTACTGTTTTTGTAACTTCCTGTGAGCCTGTGATTATTTCAAAACATTTTTTAAAGTGTTTTTCATGAAAATATAATCCAAAATTTAGAAATACAACAAAATGGGCCTGTAGTCCCAGCTACTTGGAAGGCTGAGGCGGACAGATTGCTTGAGCCCAGGAGTTCAGGGCTGCAATGAGCTATGAGTGTGCTACTGCACTCCAGCCTGGACAATGCAGTGTAACCCCATCGAAAGAAAAGAAAAGAGCGAAAAAGGAAGAAAAAGAGAGAGAGAAGAAAGAGAGAGAGAGAGGAAAGAAGGAAGGAGGAAAGGAGGAAAGGAAGAAATAAGAAAACAAAAAGAAAGGAAGGAAGGAAAAGAAAAGGAAGAAAAGAAGGAGGAAAGGAAGAAAGGAAGAAAAAGAAGGAAAGAAGAAGAAAAAATGGAAGGAAGGGAAAAGAAAAGAAAGGAGAGGAAAGGAAAGGAAAGAAGAAAGAAGAAAAGAGAAGGCCAGGTGCGGTGGCTCACGCCTGTAATCCTAGCTCTCTGGGAGGCCGAGGTGGGCGGATTGTTTGAGCTCAGGAGTTCGAGATCAGCCTGAGCAAGAGTGAGACCCCGCCTCTACTAAAAATAGAAAGAAATTAATCGGACAACTAAAAATATATACAAAAAATTAGCCGGGCATGGTGGCGCATGCCTGTAGTCCCAGCTACTCGGGAGGCTGAGGCAGAAGGATCGCTTGAGCCCAGGAGTTTGAGGTTGCTGTGAGCTACGCTGACGCCACGGCACTCACTCTAGCCCGGGCTAAAAAGAGTGAGACTCTGTCTCAAAAAAAAAAAAAAGAAGAAAAGAGAAAGGAAGGAAAGAAGAAAGGAAAAGAAAAAAACAAAAAATATTGTATGACCCTAAAATGTCATGCTAGAGATTTTAAATAGTCTCATCTGACAGTATAAGAATTTGTAATTTTGTCTATATGAGAACTGATTAGGGACCAGATATTTTACAACTGGTGAATTTAGTAAAACCAATGAGAAGTGGAGAAGATAATCCCAAAGATTGCAGTTTTAGGATTTTAACCATCTTAATATCTGATTTTGCAAATCTACTTTAGCAATTTTATTTCTTCACAGACTACATAAATCCCACTTCCATATATCCTTATTGACTCAGATTTGCCATTATGTTTGCTCCTTCATTAATAGGATACATAAAATTTGGCATGTGCTCACATCTATTTGTATGCTACTTGCGTTTTCAATAATTTGAGGATTAAACTTTCTGAGCAATTAAAAGATATCACTGAAACGTACTCAACTCATGAAAACACACTGGAATAGGTTCTATATCAAGGAACAAGAAGACAAGCATACTTTTGAGATTCTTTGTTTCCCTGACCTTCATGATTAGTGAAGTTTTTGTTGAGACAGGGAAAATTGTACTCATTTCCAGAGATTGTACACGTCAAAGACTAACAGCCATTAATCTGTCTAAAACCTACTTACCATTCACACAGAAACATACCATCTTCTCACACAAAGTGCCAGCTTGAGCTGTCACAGTTTAATGACTTATTGCTTAGAAAGTATAATGTATGTTACTGAAAACTTCCTTCAGGAAAACCCATTAAAATGTGCCAAAAACTCTGTGAACATATTTATATAAGACTATCTTCAGCCCTTATTCCTCATCAAGGTAAATCCTGAACTAAATCAAAGATTTAATTTGGCTCGAAAAAATGGACATAAAAATTGAAAAGGAAGAAGTAAAACTGTCTCAATATTTTTAAGATATTAAATATCTCTAAATTGGTATATAGATTCAAATCGAGCCTAATCAAAATTCCAGTGGATTGACAGAAATTAAGTGATTTTAAAGGTATATGGAAATGCAAAGGACCTAAACTAGCTGTAGTAATCTCAAAACTTTCTATAAAGCTACAGTAATTTAGACCAGATGGGACTGGTATAAGGATAGACAAATAGATCAATGAAATACAATAATGAGTTCAGACATAAACCAACACATGTACAGTCAGTTGATTTTCAACAAGGGTGCCAATGAAATTCAATGGGGAAAAAGTCCTTTCCGTAAATGATACTGGAGCAACTGCATATTTGTATGAGTGGTGGCAAAAAATTGACTCCCTACCTCACACTGTATGCCAAATTAATTCAAGATTGATTATAGACCCAAGCCAAAACAACAAAACTACTAGAAAACCAAAACAACGCTACTAGAAAAAAACTTAATATCTTCATGGCCTTAACATAGACAAGGCACAAAGATGCTAAGGATATAAGAAAAAATTGATAAATTAAATTTCATAAAAAGTTTTTCTTCATTAAAACATACAAATAAGAAAGTAAAAGATAAGCCACAAGTTGTAGGAAAAATGAAAAAAATTAAAACAATATTTCTTGGCCAGGAGCAGTGGCTCACACCTATAATTCTAGCACTCTGGCAGGCTGAGGCAGGAGGATTGCTTGACCTCAGGAGTTTGAGACCAGCCTGAGCAAGAGTGAGACCCTGTCTCTACTATAAATAGAAAATTTAGCTGGAGGCCATGGTGCACACTTGTAGCCACAGCTACATGGGAGGCTGAGGCAGAGGAACCACAAGAGCCCAGGAGTCTGACATTCCAAACTCCTTATAATTGACATTGCGCAGTGACACCACTGCATTCTACCCAGGGCAACAAAGTGAGATTCTGTCTCAAAGGAAAAAAAAAAACAACAATATTTCTTAGTTGAATGAAAGAATGGACAAC